TTGTACATTTTCTATAAAATTATTGTACATGTTGTTTAAGTGTGTGACCTTGAAAAGCGAATAGCGTTTACTACTTGTAACGCATTCGAAACCTTACTCTATCCACTCCTAGATCCGTTTACCAGTTAGTCTTAATCTCACGCTGTCTTTATATATGGTTTGTGTCTATTTATTCGTATATTGCATGTAAGTGCATTATATGTGCTTACTGAGTCGTTGGCTAATCTTTATCTCTTGTTCTTTCATCTTCCAGATAATCTCATTCGCTGCTCCTCACATCCCCTCCTAGCACTCAAGGTACCTTCGGGCTCAACGCAAACCAACCAAAGGCTGAAGTTACAACTCACTTTTTTCCGTTCTGTTGCACGACATACGCTGTCTTCTCCCAACAAATACACTTTATACACATATTCCGTGTTTTCCATTGCTCATTGATGTGTTATCTGGATTCTAATGCATATATTATCTACATTTATAGACTACAGTCATATTCATCACCTATTCTACGACGGAATATATCACTGGGATTACTAATCTATTATTGTGGATTTTTGGCACCAAACGCAACCGAACACCTACAAGCAGCCGCATTAAGTAACGTCCATACATTTTTATTGTGTTCATTCCGTTTATCTGATATATTTCGCTATATTTTTGATTGTATTCAATAACTCTCATTATTTTGAAATATTATATCTGTTGGTCCACTACAGGCCAAAAGATTATATTCTGTAGTTTAGAATTGTCAGTCTGATAATCCTATTCATTGGTCTGGCAACGATAATGAATAAACTAAATAACTCCTGTGCCCTACCAACCGGGCTGATAGTATCAAATCCTTGGTCCTTCGGAAAAATAGACTCCTTTAAAACACAGAACATCACTGACTGGGGTTCAGCAATTATATTCACCAAGATGTTCATCGTCCTGACTATATCATTACAAAGATCCATGAAATTATCTGGTTCGAGTTTTTGGAGTAATGGTAAAACCATTTCCTTATCAGCAACCAAAGGATCAATCTAGATGCCGTCATTGTTATAATAATTCACTGTTCTTTCATTATCGTTAGCCGATAACACTTTACTAAAACGTTTTGATAAAGCTTTAGCTTTTCCAACTTATTCTGTTGCTAAGTTCATTAGATTTTTGTATAAAGTTGCTGGAAGCTTGTCACTTTTGTGAGTTTACTTCTTAGGTGGGAGAAAAGATTGTGATATGTTAATCTCTGCAGGCTCTTAACAATGGAGTTCCCTTCATTGCCATACCAGTAATTTAAGCAGTGGTGGAATGTAAGGCTAAAGTTCCGTATGAAAAACAATTTTTTAGGGATTCGGGAAATATTCCGAAAAGTTTTTATTAAGAAGTTTCATAACCGTTTCAGTTGTTCATGATGGACATTTATTATAGGTTTGCCGCGCTAAGCACGGTATAAATGAGGGTAAAACTGATCTCATTCTACACTAAAACATGCTTCTGTAGATACGTCAGTCAAGATTGTTCATGAACACCACTACAGGCCAATTACTTTCGCGTCAAGTATCGTATTCCCTCCAGGAATCAAGGACAGAGAAGAATATTTAATCCAGACAAGAGAATATATTTGCTGGCGATTTCGTGGCATCGAAGGGATACCGAGATCGTGCCAGAGAAAAAGGGTGAGGTTAAAACGAGCAGTATAATCAAAATGGCAGCAACAAAAACGGAAAATTTGCGCGTACGTAGTACGATACGCGTTCAGCAAAAATAACAATTTGTCTAAGTCACATTTCCATTATTAGTGAATAAACATAAGTTAGGTTATTTGTATGTAACACATGTAGTACTTTTATGGACGATTTAAATTTTCCACTATAAGTATCATAAATCTGGTTAACATTATCGGAGTGCTTGTCCGGAGAAAATAAGAGAAGCTGTACCACGAACGTCCTGAAATTTACATTTGTAAGTGGTGGTTGTAATTTTATATTCATGTAGCCCCAGCTTCATTGAAAATGATATTGTATGAATGTTCATTGTATTGTGAGCCCGACAAGAACAAGTTATCAGTTTATATATGATCAAGCGTTATGTGAAATGTGTGATCGATAAAGCGCTGAGATGTCTGAAACACATTGTGCAGTGAGAAAGCGATTCAGAGATTTCCCGACAATATGAATGGACTGGGAGCTGCTAATTTCAAAATATGACTGTTTAACACTAATGTAATTATATATTGTGAATGACGTTTTTAATTTTATCCTAAAAGTTAGAAATCCTTGAATAAAAATACCTAACATGATCGTTGATCCGTTTAATGCTCTTTAGTTATTCTATTGTACTTTCTTCTAACAATAATTTACTAACAGTTTCTATTTTATACAAGTATACTTGATCAGCTTTTGAGCAATATGCGATAAATTTCTTAAAGGAAAGTTGTTTGTTATTCTGTGTTAAATAAGATTAACGAGAGGACTTGCTATAAATCAGGAAAATAAACTAAACATTGCGTTTATTTAAATAGGAGAACCGTTCAGAAGACCAAACAAGAATTAAAAGGAAATGTATTATTACTGGTGGAATTTTAAAAGTCAAAACAGCAAAACGAGAGTATAACCGTACTTAAAAATAACATTTCATAACATAGACAATAAGCACAAATGTAGTCATGTGCTCACACAACGTAATCCGGAGTTGTTACGAAATGCAGGGCAATAGTGGTGATAGATATAATCTGTATCCAGACCTAAATTTCATTCATAGTGTAATTCTATACTTTGCATTTCAGTTCGCCCTTTAAACTTCATTTCATGGTTAAGCTTTCAATTGCATTTGATATTATTCCTCTACTACAGATTTTAGTGATCATGATTTTCTCCATCGCTAGGACATTGTGAATTCAGGTAACTTAAACATATATACATTCTTGGTAGGTCCAAAGTCGATAATGACCGAATGATTGTCAACATACAAAGTAGGTACGAAATATAAACTGGCGAAAGAGTTTTCCTTCGTAGTATGTAGTATTTTAAGAACGGTTTGTACATATACTTTTTTCTGAATGGTGAAAAGTAGACCAATTAGTATTCAACCAGAACAACAGCTTATAAGTAAAGTTGAGCAGTGGTTGCACCTCTACCAAACCTTACTTAAAACTTCTTCGGACTCAGTGGAAATAGTGAAGCCATCAGCTCAGGATGCTTACATGTCAAAAGAGACTGATCAGTTGAAATTTTTAACATCAGCAACGAGAAGTTTCAAACACTTACGAATAAAATGAAACAACAGTACTTTGAAAATAATATGAATTCATTTTGGCTTATCTTATAATAAGGACGCTAAATTTTCATTCGTAGATGAATATCATACGCGTTAGCTTCATAGATGACATATATTTTCCGTAAATTATTCATGCAATTATCTTATAAATGGTTAACAACTATGAACAATCATTATAACCGTATGCGGTTTCATTAACTTTTACTAACCTGATTTTATTTTTTTTTAAACTAGTAAGTACATCTTAAATTGATAAAAATATGTTCCTCTTTATTTATTTTGTAATCTCCATATTAGGAAGGTAGAAAAGTAATTGATATATTTGTATATGTATATAGCTTTTTTTAGTTTTGTTCCTTTGGGGTGTATCAAACAAAATGTTGATCCAAAAATACATAACAAGTTTACTCTTAAGCTGTTATCAAACGAGGTAGATGTCAGTAAGTTGATTGAAATAGTAAGAAGCTAATATGTGGTTACTTCAATGCTTTTTAGTGAACTCAAGTGATGAACATTATAGTGAAACGTGATTACAGATGGACTACGATACGACTTGATAACATGGTGATATTAATTCAGGTCACTATTATTGTATCAATTCAGTATAAATTTTGTCCAGCATGAGAAATGTGAACTATCTTTCAGTTGCAAACTAGCGTTATTTGAAGGACAGCTGATGAATGTACAGTGCTGACTGGATTTGTGATCCTAATTTAATTAATATTCTCAAGAAAGCATAAATGATCAAACCCAGAAGCTTTATATCTCATTGTCAGGATGATATTATTGAACTATTCAGTTGTGATTTATTAGCAAACAGTTTCATTCAGGACTTAGCATGATCATCGTTCAATTTAATCGACAGTTTATTACCCAAAAAATTATTTTCTCATTTATATGAGAAGCCCAAAACTAAAACGATTTCAATAGTTTATTGAGTGACGTCATAAATGTTGAAATTTAGAATACTCCTTGTAGTAAATAGACCATTTATTGCGTTCCCATTCTTACAAACATATTAATGGCCCAGTAATGTAGTAGAAAAAAACGATCTACTAGTGTATCTGAAATATAGTTAGTACAAAACAGCCGCTTCATGTCACTCACATCTTCCAAGGTAATAAATCGACGGATATTCTATAGTCTCCATAACATTCTTATTGCCAAAAAGTTGATTTTAACAGGATTGAACATGGTAATGCACAAAATACATTGGAAAAAGCATCAGGGAGCAGTCAGTCAGATGCAACGTAGAACTTCGTACGTAAGTACATCAGTTCATGTCGCCATCAGGGAACAGAGAAACTGGTTTAGTATCTCATATTTTGTAAGGTAATATAACTTATTTTGCTCCTGGTTTTGTTTTTAGCAATAGAAATGGTCAATATTTATTACATATGTACTCGATCGAGCGAGAGTAAATAAATGAAATAACTTCAATTATTAAAATATTAATAAAGGACAACAGATCTGGTCTTTCGAATTAACGAAAAGCATAATTATTTGTTTTTAAGAATATATTTGTCAACTCAGTTAAGTGAAAACTAATTCTTCCCGTGACAGATTTACTGAAAAATGTTAGGTTAAATAATGAGAAATAATCAGCGTGAAGTGAACTTTTGGTTAGTGATGAAAATTGGCAAGTACAAAACTAAAATATAAGGCTTCTAATAATACCACACTTAAACACAACACAACCAAAATACTGTCAAACAAACTACATTAAGTAATCAAAGTATTTATTAATTAGGCAATACATAGAAACAATAAATCCAGTTCCATGTGGATACCGTTAAATAAGTCAGTATACTAAATAAATCTATCAATGATGTCAAATAGTAACGATCATACTTTCTTTTACTATTGCCCACTGAAAAATAAGTACTAGGTTTTAACTTCAAATTTTCATGATAATTCAAGCGAGGATAATAAAATGGTTCTTGTTGATGCTGACGACGGCAATCATTGCAACTACAAGGCTTACAGAAGATTGGTCTTTTGCTCAAAAACTCTTTATAAAATTTGATGTTTTGCTTTTTTATTGAATATTCCTTTTTAAACGGACTTACGAAGCACTCTAGACGATTGTTCAATTGAGCAAACTGATTATTTATGACAGCAACAATAGTCGCCAAACCCATGAAACCTAACTGATTCAGTAAATAAATTCCTGAGTTTATAACATGAAGAAAAAGAAAAATGGTAAGCATTAGTGAACAATTGAATAAAAGTGATATGATTGTTTAGGTGCTTTGAAATATGTCCAACTACCTGATATGACTGTCACCTTAATTTTAAACCGAACGAAACAAAAAAATAGTCACTCCTCAGTAGTGCGCACCCACCATTCATGCATGATGTAATGCATATGATGAAATATCAAGTGTAATTGGTATCTAAGAGTTGTAACAAATTACAAGTTAGGAAAAATTTAGTTATAATTGTTTAAATCTATGGATTATGCAATAAGCTGAAAAAAAGGAAGCGGAATACCAAGTATGGGATAAATATCTTTTAACAAGATTTAGCATGATTTTAAATTCTGATGGATATAGACGTATGCAGTAAAGTTCCTTTATCAGTTAGCTAAATAATTACACATTTCTACAGACTCTGAAAACATTATTGACATTGTCTCATTAAGTTATAGAGAAATTTCGGTTATACATTGTGTTAGCAATGAATAAATTGGATTCCTGATAGCTTTCTTCTAGAGTTATGACATGAGTAAGATTTTAAACAAACTTACATATATGTGCCCACAAATAACTAACCACAATAATAATTCCTGAAGTTCTCATTAGAACAACAGGAATCATGTACTGACCAAATTGCAAAGTTACGAATCACTGTGGAACAATCGGTTGAATGGAATTCAGCACCCTACATCATCTTCATTGCCTACGGGAAAGCATTTGATACTGTGGGCAGGAGAACACTATGGAGCCTTATTAGACACTATGGCGTACCTGAGAAGATATTCAACATCATACGACATTCTTACGATGGACTAACCTGCAAAATCGTGCACGGAGGACAGCTGACAGACTCATTTGAGGTGAAGATCGGTATCAGGCAAGGTTACTTACTCTCACCCTTTCTCTTTCTCCTGGTGATCAGCTGGATTATGAGGACATCACATGTAGAGGAAAACATGGTATGCAGTGGATAACGAGGATACAGCTGGACGATTTGAACTTTGCAGATGATCTGGCCCTTTTATCACGCACATAACAAAAATTGCAAGAAAAGAAAACCAGTGTAGTAGCAGCCTCAGCAGCAGCAGGACTCAACATACATAAAGGAAAAAGCAAGATTCTTCGACTCAACAAAACATGCAACAACTAAATCACACTTGGTTTAGATGTCTTGGAGGACGTTAACACCTTTACATATCTTGGCAGCTTCACTGATGAGCAAGGAGCATTCGATACAGATGTAAAGGCGCGGATCGGCAAAGCAAGGACTGTATTATTACAATTGAACAACATCTGGAACTCAAAACAACAAACACCAAAATCAGAATTTTTAATACAAATATCAAGACTGTTCTACTGTATGGGGTGGAAGCTTGGAGAACCATTAATGCCATCATCCATAAGATACACGTGTTTATTAACAGTTGTCTACGAAAAATACTTCGGATCAGTTGACCAGACAGTATCAGCAAAACCTACTTTTGGACAGAACAAACCGAATTCCAGTGGAGGAAGAAATCAGGAAGGAGCGGTGCAAGTGGATAGGATACACACTGCGGAGAGCACCCAACTGCGTCACATGACAAGCACTCACTTGGAACCCTCAAGGCCAAAGGAAAAGAGGAAGACTAAAAAACTTATTACGCCGATCAACGGATACACACACGAGAAGAATGAACAAAAATTGGAAAGAACTGGAAAGGGAGACCCAGGACAGAGTCGGCTGGAGAATACTGGTTGGCGATCAATGCTTCACTAGGAGGTAACAGGCGAAAGTAAGTAACTTTGAAAAAGAAGCATTTAATGACTGTAAAGTATTACAAACTGATTAAAAGTAAATATATAAACCGGTGGATTTCAGCATATTGCTCTAAAGAGATCTGAAGCTCTCTATTATATAATTTGCAAGATCATGGCTGCTCACTTCTGTTGAGGACGAACCGAACGTCCCGTGCTATGTAGTTTTCAATGAATGATTAACTGAAGCCAGTTGATCATATAAACTGAATGGTTCCCTTAATCTGATTTTTCCTCTCTAATTTAATATAAATTGTCTAAATACAAGATATGAATGTTATTATAAGGCACCATCGGAGTGTTTAGCTAAACAATAACCAGTACTCTCACATTCAGAACCAATTTCAGGATCATTTTCTAAAAATCCGATCTATTTGGGTGTTTACTTGAATCTTATTCAAAGTCAACGTCTATCACTTTTATAATTAGAACACACATTTGAATTTAGTATGTCAGAAGAATAGATTGAAATCGTGTCTATATTTTATCATCTTAGTGGTAGTCAATGAATTAACACTCACTAAATGAATATGATGATTTATTATGCAATTTATATCATTCTATCAAATGTTAGTTGTCTTGAAAAAAATTAATTCAATCAAATATTTGAGTATTCACTGCGGATTCATTCTGATCAAATTTCCATGAATTGTTAAGAACAGTTAAATTTGCATTTGACCAATTAAATGATTTATCTGAATACTACTTTACACTGTTAGTAAGACTTATTAACTGACTGAGGTAGTCTCTTTCTGATTAGCTAATTTCAAGCATATTTTAAGCAGTAACAACTGTGTATTGTATTTTACACATTATATACCTAGAAACTTGAAGTCATTTGTTGTGAGTTAACTATCGACTGATGTATCTTATCTGAGTAATGTTCAAGTGGCATTCTCGTACTTTTAGAAATAACTAGTTTGAGATCAAACGTCTAGTCGTGCAACAGTTTTTCTTGTTTTCCTTCATTATTGATTGACTTATATGCTTCAACGGTGTATTGTATAAACGTTTCATTGAAGTAACAGTGATTATCAGACAATAGTTTTTGAAACTTGGCCAAGAGGAAAGCTATAATAATTAGGAACATGGTTCCCACATACAATCTTTATCCATAAGTGAAAGTTCAAGTACTTAATCGTGATTGTTGAAGTTCATTAACTAGATATTTTTGTTCTTTGAAGGAATTTCATTGCCGATTTAAATGGAAGTTTTCACTATGGGAGTGAATATAGCCATCATCTAACCATCAGGATAAATAATTACTTATTGCGCTTTCAAATTATGCACAAAAATAAGTTGTACGATGAACTGCACTTCGCATGGAGCCCCTCCGGGGCTACTGTCGGTCCCAAGCCCGGATAAAGTAGAAGGGTTGACGGCCCCATCCTACAAAAAACCTAACTCGCTAAAAAAGGCTAACCAGAAAAATCGATTCAAACCATTTTCACCCTGCCCTGGCAGTTAGATCTTCTTTCAGAAGAGTTATGACGTCTCATGATGAAAGCCGAGTTCATTCGGAAGTTACGAGACCGTCACCCCTTCTGACAACCGGAGTAACCATTCTTTTAGGTCCGAACATTATGTAAGACAGGGAGACTATTCCCAGTTTCTGCAGAAATGAAAAGATACAATCTGGAGGTGCTTGGAATCAAAAGTATTGGACGCAAGTTGAACAACTGAGACTAGCTTCAGCAGAGCTGCTGTTGTACTCCGTCCATGAAGAAGAGAATGCCTCACAGACAAGGATGCGCTCTGATGCAGTCCAAACAAGCACAAAAGGCACTGATAGGATGGGAATCTCATGGACACAGGATCATTAAAGCATCCTTTAAAATAAAGAAACAGGGCATTACAATGAACGTCATCCAAAGCTACGCACCTACCAACGACTACAATGACGACGATAAAGATCAATTCTATGAGAGGCTGAAGTCAATCGTCGACAGATGCGCATCAAAGGATTTGATGATTCTAATGGGAAACCTAAATGACAAGGTTGGCATGGACATCAGTAGTTATAAGACATCATGGGACGACATGGACTGGGAGAAAGCAATGAAAATGGTGGGAGATTTGCAAACCCTTATGCCTTCAACAAAATGGTCATCGGTGGCACAATATTCTCACACAAACGCCTACACTAAGCTATATGGGTTTCACCGAATCACTCTAGACAGAACCAAATCGACCACATCTGCATGAATAAAAAGTTCAGAAGGACCATGGAGGACTTGTGAACCAAGAGAGGAGCTGATATAACCTCAGATCACCACTTGCTGGTTGCCAAGATGGAACTGAAACTCAAGAAACACTAGAAAATGGGGCAGACAACATCGCTGAAGTTTAATACGGCCTTTCTTTGGGATACCGTAAAACTCAACGAATTCAAGATAGCCCTCAGCAATAAGTTCCAGGCCTTGAATATGAAAGAAATTATTAGGTATTAGAAAAATGCAGAAAATCGTAATGTATTATTAATTCAACCCAAAAAGTTTACTAAACTAGGTAACAACGTTATATTTAATATCTACTCACCTAAAAGAGGTATCTGACTCACGGATCTAGGTGTATTTGATGACACTGTAATTACGTATACAGTTGCACCAAAGAATAGCGATAACGCAGTAACTAACCGATCACTTGGACAACTCAGTGTAAATATTGAACATGTTAATGTTGAAATCAGGGTAAATGGTGCGACAACAAATGTCACAAAGTACAATGGTTCATGTTTTAGTGTGATGGATATTACGAGATATTGATATTTTGAATTAGTTTGCCTCAAGTATACAGAAGAATGATAACCGATCTCTTCAATTATCCACTCACTATGATTAGCATTCGGCATAAAACTGTTATCAATACTTAAATGATCGATTTTTAAATTGATTTCTAATTGTTTGGTTGTACTATACAATGTAGTCAAAACCAAATAACATTTTTGTCGGTCAAATGGTAATTTAGTCATATCAAGAGGGCAAGAGAGTTCTAAAACTGAGCCATGCAACCATGTTACGTAACCGTTGGATTCAACCATCAAACGTGATGCATTATTGCCTGAAGTCAAATCAAACAGCCCATTCTTTTTGCGATTTCCAAATGCTAAATCGGGTCTCCATAATTGTTTACTTTTAAAAATCAGTATATTTTCCAGATCGCCAAAATCACTTGGTTCCCACTTCAGACGGTGATCCATCCATCTCTAAAGTAGGAAAAAACCATTCTCAAAGTGGTAAACAGATTTAAACCGTCTGTCTTATGCTTCTTAAACGATTACAATACTTACTGGAGTAATTTTATAAAAACGACGTATAGAAAATTATTCAATCATTTAACTATTTTATAGAATTATCAGACATGCTTATCAGAACTCATAGTGACTAACGTTTGTGAACTTGCATTTTGCAAGCGCATTATAAGAATTCACTTACCAACAAAGTCTCTGGGATTCTCTGCAATTTGCTAATATTAGGATGAAATCTCACTGTTAGATGAGTGTTTCGTTTTTCATTCCGATTTATGAAATTTCAACTAGTACATTTCGTTCTGTTTATTCAGTATAACATTTTTTTTTAACCAGTTCAAGGTGCCTTTTGTTACTCAATAACCAGTGGATCTAAATTTCTACAAGAATTAATGAAGTCTTTTGATTTTGGATGGAAAATAAATCTTTATCATCCACCAGTGTTTGCCTTTTTTTCATTAGATTAAGTTATACCAAGTTTCACTTCTATCTCTCAAGTTCTAGTTCAAGTCGGGATACATAAATTTTTTTAAACTTGACAGAAAAACAGTGCGCAAAATTATTAAATTTTAGTTTCCCACTTCTAATAAACAGATCACCAACCAAATTCATAAAACATAAAATCATATACAGGTTATTCTTATATGCTTATTTGTATCGAATAATTCATAATATTGTCCAGTGTATTTAATGTTACCCTATTTAAGGCAGTCAGTTGGAATAACATGCTTATATTAAATATCGGAGAAAGATTAGATGCAAATCCGTGTCTTTCAGATTGGTTCTTTTTATGGTAAGACAAATCGTGAATATCGACCATGCTCCCTTCAATTATCAGCCATTTCATATAGGATTGATAGGTTACTTTAAGCACTATGGAATGCTAAGTAGAAATAATAAGAATCCTGGTTTGTACTGCACAGAAAAATATCATGTGTGATAGAAGCCACTCAGATATTTATCATTCCAATTTAGAGTAGATGATGCATGATGATGATGTCCCAAAATAATCACATAAATTTGATTAGTGAATAAAGTATGTCAGCATATAGTATATAGGACGCTGTACAGCTTGAAGTATGACAAACTTTGATTTCATCTACTTGAAATAGTAGTAGTAAACCATAATACTTCAATGTAAAGTAAAAATGAATAAAAACTATTTTTTCTAAAGATAAGAACGAGTGCACAATGGTACATCAAAAAATATTTGAATTTTTCTCTCGAAAATTAATATAAACGACCGACAATAAAATATTTCTTTGGCAATAACCCAAGCCTCATAGTTTTCATGATGGACTTATCTAAGTATACCCACAAAAAAATCAAAAATCGCGACACAACGAACATCTGTTTCATCCTCATAGAGGGTCCACAGCAACGCTGACGGTGATCTTGTCCAGTGTCCCCTGGTTTTTAATAGTGGTCCAACTGAGATGAACTCTATGGTAGGGTTTCGTTCTCAGAACTGGACGCTTCGGTTGTGGAGCTTTCATTGTTCTTCTAAACAACATCAGCACAAACTTCCGGTAAAAATAAAGTATTCGGAACTCCCCACGTATTACCCTTAGATTATGCTGTTTACCTCGATCTTAGTTGGTTGTTATCGACCTTGAACCTGTAGTTGTCTGCATCTTTATTTTGATTATACTCCTTTTCGATCTGTTTCTTGATCCTATGTTTTTCTGATATTTTAGACTGATTGAAGAATTGGATCAATATCGATGTTTGGTGTTTGCTGATTGACTTGAGTGCTAAGCTTCTAAAAATTTATCAGTGTCCTTTGTACTCCCTCAATCCAGTATTTCAACATTGTTCCAAGCGAATGAATGTTTATAGTTGTTCGTATGTATCGAAATAAGGGAAGAAATATCATGGGGCTTGACTACTGATTGGTGTTCACATAGACGAAATTGAAGAGTAGGTTTACTTTGTCCTATGTAGTGTTTTTCACAGTCTGAGCAGTTTGTTTTGTAGATGATATTTGGTTTTTCTTCTTTTATCGTTTTGTCTTTTGGTTTACACACGATTGATTGAAATGATTCTGTTGGTTTTTGTGCTACATCTATCCCAAGTGGTTTCATTAAACGTGCTGTACTTTCTGATATGTTTTTATGTATGGTAGGATGATCTGTTCGTTGGTTCCTGTACTTGACTTTGCTTCTGTTGATTGTTTCAGTTGATATATTTTTTAACAAAGTTGCGTGGATAGCCATCAGATATTTTTCTTCGTATTTTTGTGCTACATGTGTATGCAGTGTGTTTTCGCTCTCTTGAACAAAGTTCGTACCGACTTAATTTTGTTAATTCTTTTGTCAATACTGCTGTACTTGAGAATTAGGACTGTCTGGGTTGGCTTCCGAAATACTTGAGCTTTCAGTTTCCTTGTGTCAGTTCAGGTGACATAAATTTTCAATATAAACTACGAAAATTCAATAATTTCCATAGGCCCGCTATGATGATAATGATAATAACATCATTACAATATTCTTCCAAACTCTGTGATATTACGACAAATAAAAGTATAACAAACATTAATCACAGAATAATTTATAAATTTTCAAAAATAATTCCCTTTTCTTCGAATAGATATAACTGGAAGTATTATATTGTTGACATCTGATAATATGTGTTTATTTAAGCGAAATGTTTTGCACAACAAACCCAGTTTCATGGTGATCATACATATTTTAAACCAGAGCTTGAAGTACGGAGATGATGTCTCTAACGTTCTATGATCCTGAAACTGACGGTTACCGGTAATCAGTTTATTTGACCTGGATAAGGTGCGTCTATTACTAACTTTAGCGGGTACAACATTAATAATATCCTTCAAGTTTCAGCTTCACTAGTGTGCGGGAATATACAAACTATTAAAATCTACCAGGCAAGTTTTAAAGAAATATGATCATTTAGACCCATGAATATAGCAAATTTTTTCTAGAAAGCAGTTTGGGATAAACACTATTGAGCTAATGAAAACTATGTTAAATTGACCGCTTTCAGAAGTAATTCTACCAACTGTATTTATTTAGTTTAAATATTTTTAAATTAATGAATTGCAAATATTTGGTTGAAAACTGAAAATCCTCAAGATGCGTTTCTTTGTTCATGGAAGTTTACAATTATTCTATCTCGTAATTTAAAACAGTTGTTAGGAAATATTTGTCTGGAAAGAAAATTGAAAATGTTAGTAAAATTAAATAGTTACTACGCTTACCTGACGTTCTACACACTTCACATTTATATCCATATTTAATAAACTTAGTCATTATAGTAGTACTATTCTAGTAAACGTTTTCTACTCCGTTTAAACTTATGTCAGTGAACAAATTATAGAAGAAAAGTAGAGAAAAAAGTACCAAAAACTTGACAGTACAATTCATCACAATTAAAATTAGTAGTTGAAGCAATTTTGTTGTGTTTAGGTATCAATCACTTAGTTCACTACTTAATATTTCATAAAAGTGACTATACAATCAAGTAAAAAGCAAGCGAGAAGACAGAAAAAAATGAATAAACTGATTTACACCGCACGTTTGCATGAAACATTTCAGAAAAGGAGAGTGGTAGATAACAGTTTCACTAACCAATATACATGGGAATGTTTAACTTACTATAGTAAACCATCCAGATATGATAAGTGTTTCATCTGAATGCGACTAAAAGAAAAGGAAGAGGGAAAAATCCTATAGTCCATAATCTGGGATCAATTTTGTCAGTAGCGAAAGATAGTAATTTAAAATTACTATTATAAATAGAATTGCAGTCACCGACTATTTAATCATTTTTCAGGTGACTTAATTGGTTGTATATCATAAGTGAAATGTATGATCGATAAATGAAGGAACAAGTAACTGTATTTTAACTGGCATGCGTATTTTGTATTATTTGCTTTTGCTGAACTATCATGAGATATAAAAAAATCAATGCCTTACAAACCACGTAGCCAAATAATTGCCTACTGTTGATGAAAGACTTCATTCGATGTTAAATTATCAAAGTTTTGGTTCGAAAGAATTATTTCAAATATCAGAAAAACTAAAACCACTAATTATCAGTTATATTAGACCCAGCAGAAAGTGTCTGAAATTGAAAATTATGAACTTAGAAATATCAATTTCATACATCAGTGATAAGAATTCCACCGTACGATTGGGTGGTTTTGGGTTTAAAATTTTGTTGAGGTTTCAGACCGAGAAAGTAAACCTGTCCACTTTCTACTTTTTCCAATAATTCGCTAACTGATTTCAGTCTGTTGTGACAATTATTTGAATTATGACTAAATCTCGACCAGAACTGAAATAAGCCAGTCATTATTATTGTTGTTTTATAACTGACACTAGGTTTTACTTAGTTATGGAAAAGCTTATGACCAAAGATTCCAAGTAATATATTTGAAACCTAATAAAAGTATTCGAACACAAACTTCTGACAAATATGCATAAACATCCATTCTATCTACTTTTAAACAAAAAATACCACTTGAATCTTTACAAAAATTTAAAAAAATGAAATTTATTGAATACTGTTTGAAATGATAATGTTAAGGCAATCCACTCAAAATACAAACATTTGATCACTTACAGTCCTAAATACAAACCTTAACTAGTAATTAATAGTGTTTATTTTCAGAGTCATGATGTTATGCTCTGGAGGAAAAAATCTTTGGTTAATTCTACCTAAACTGTTTAAGTGCTGATATACAAAATCCTTATCAAAGCAATTATTCATAAATGCAATTAAATTATACCTTGTGCTCGATTTGTAGGGAAAGTAAATATGCTCCAATAATGACTAATTAGGTCAAAAAGTCGCAGATGGTCTGAATCCCTAATCTGAAAGTGTTAGGTTGAACATCTAAAATTGAGTCCATCGTCTTAAAACTAATATAATTAGTGACTGATTCCTAAAATGCATCGAAAGTTCTTGAAATACCTACTCATTTCATATTCATTGATCATAAGTTGGAACTACTAAAAACATTTTTACTGTTTATTGTACTTTTAATTTTTACTTTTTGGTGAAGAAGTTATTAAAGAAACATTACGTCGATCTGGATCTCTATTGCGTTACTGTGTTCGGGTTTTAGTGTAGAAATATGGTAGCAAAAAGAATATCTAAAGTCACTGGCCACTAAATGAGTTGCTTATCTTACCATTATATTTATTAGGTAGAGGAGATTTCATTTCAGTCTTTGTTTGCCTACTTACAAGAAGATAATAAGTTTAACGAAAATTAATAAATCAAATCATATGAATCATTACAGACATAGTTAGTAGATTGCATTTATCAGATATAAACATGTCGTATTTCATTAAAACAAAGTATTAAAGAACATACCAACTTTACTACTTGTATAACATTATATGTAAGATTAACTGGAAGAGGCTTTTGACAAACGTAAGGACATGCAGATGGTTGTAACCATAAATTAGGTTGATTGATCAAATGATTTGCTAGAATTTCTTCATAACTTTTAGCAAAAACTGAGTCTAATCGAATTAAATTCAATGAAAAGAAAAGAAAAGAAAAGTGGGTCAGTAATATTAGCGATTATACAATGTTTTCAATTTTTTTACAAACTATTGTTTCTCTACAGCAATAAGAGAGCAGTGAAAAGAATTTGGCATATTGTAATGTATAGAAAATAAAATGTAAAATTTAACTAACCGTCAAACACAAGCATTTATTTTTCTGCATAATAACCCCACTTCAATGCATCGATATTTCTTTATTAAAAACGGGAGATAGTTTATGGAGGACTATTGTGATCTTTCTTAAAGTTTGGAACTCACACGGAAAACTGACTGAATACATTTTACTTAACAGATATTCTCAATCATTATTGTTAATGACTGTATCATTTAATTAAACATATTTGAGTAATACCGCTAAGGTAGCCATTTATTTTAAATTTATGAATTTTACGGTTACTAAATTATTCAGATATTATGACTGACTGCCTGTTGTTTGTCAATATACTTAACCATTTGTGTGGGAAATTCGAGAAGATTGGATTTCTTCACGATTGAAATCAAGAACTTATCTTACCTAGATGATCATTGGAAACCCGGAAGCACTAAATAGCCGTCTCAGCTTAGTATGGAACTCTTCATCAGTGCTCATCTAAGATCTTGCACGCGAAGATCCACCCCAGAAACTTTGGTCTCGTGTGTGAACGCTTAACCTCTCGAGTAATGAGTTGGCATCCAACGGTGTTGATGTATTTGTCCAGTAACTAATATTGATCAAATCTACCAATAATTATAATGCAACTGTTATTCTAAGTTCATCTCGTAGATTAGTCCAAAAGACCTATGTCCAGAGAAAAGAATGTTTCAGCAAGAATTGATGACTTGTTCATTTAAGCTGTTCAGTTCAGCAAATAACCGAATTCAGTGCTGCCAGCAAAACTAGGAATGTAGATAGGAGTTAAACAGTGAAGAAACGCCACATGCTGCCATAAATTCTTCAGAAACATTTAAACTTTTCATTTTTTCACGAATCAGGTTTTCCTTTAGAATACGGAATATTAGGTCTATATAGAGGAGTGGTTAGGTGATTTTATCAGTGTAAACAACCGAATTTCAGTCTATATCTGAATGTTTACACGTTTGAACACAGAGTTCGAGATTCCCAAATGAAATTTATATGTTAGCATAAACGTGAAAACGAAAAATGGGAGAGAGTAACTATGTGAAAGTTTAAGGGTTTTCAATGATTCTTTAATGTCTGTTAATCTGTCTGTGCTAGTCGTTAAGCTTCATATAACAAGAGAAATATCACGAACGGAAAGCACAATACTTAAACTTATTGGCAAGTTTTTTTTATCTGCACTGACACTTATGACGAATATTGAAAATTCTAATTACTAACCTTTCAGGTCATTGAAATAATCATTCATATATATATATATATATATATATATATATATATATATATATATATGGGATTTTACTAGCACTAGTGAAAGGATGAGAACTTTAATTACAGTGTCAATAGTGAGAAACATTTATCGAAAGATATCATTTGAGGATAAAACATCTTATCTAGAGATAATAATTATTTCCTTGTAACTGGTTATATATCCACCTCTATTGATTCCTGATTATTTTTCATCAAAACATTATGCTTCGTGTCATCCAACTTCCGATAAATTGTTTAGTTAATTAACGAGGAAAAGGTCTAACTAAATGACTTTAATGTATGAGAAAGTAATCCTTTTAAAAACATTGTTGATTTTCGCAAAATCTTGAAACTATGTCACTGATGGTACATGAGTACCATTGCATCTTTCAAAATAATTCATGAAAATTAAAACTACGTTAAAAGCACAATATATGAAAGGGCCAGTAACAATTGAGAAAACTATTTTGAAGTTTTATTTAACTTGTAAAGCCATTTTTTAAACCATCATAAAACAGAAAGTAGTAGAAATACGTTATTCTGGTGTTCAGTACATTAAAATTTATTCAGAAAAAAATTCATTTCTTACCATTAAAAGCATATGGAGCGCTCGCTATTTTCAAATTACATGACACTGTACATGCAAATTCATAAGTCTTTAATTTGCTTTGAGAGAATAATGCTCCAAAAGTCTTGATTTATGTCATTCGGTAAATGATTTATAGATAATCTGAAAAATCCTGAGCAACTAACTATCCTGCTGCGTCAGTCTATAATTTGACAATGAAATTACGTCAAGTAGTAATCCGATAGTGTAATATTTAAAGACTGTATAATTCAATCATTACATCTACAAGTTTTGATTGGCATTTCATTTGAAATGTATGTAGTATGGTAATCTAATTTCCAAGATATTATCATAATGTTCTTGTTATTGTTGTAAACGTTAAAAGAGCGCTAATATTAACTGGTTCATGAATCTTACCAAAATGAGACTAGTTTACTTACTTCTCATATTGAAAATTTCAAAGAAAAACTAAGCATTCAAAAAGAATCGTCAGTCAGAAATTGTAGATCGTGTAGTGATTGACTTAACTAGTCTTTAAATATTGCACTTTACCTAAACAAACATAATTTAAATGTCAAATTCTAAACTGACACAGCAGGATTGTTGTTTGTACAGAGCATTTTAGATTGTTCATAAATCACTTATTAAATGAAGCGAAGTGAAACTTCCTGGTGTGTTACTAACATAATTACAATGTTCCAAACAGAAGTAGTGATTATGTAGTATTTATTTAAATTATTGATATCCATCTAGATATCACTGATAAGTTGACGGATTGTAGAACGGCTTCTAGCAATAATTCAAACTCCAACCATGGATTGTAATTTAACTTTGAGGTGGATATTCTCAGTCAGCCTGGTGGGGAATAGCTGTCTTCAATTTTTACGATATATTTGTGCCTCAACATATATTCCAGTTCGTTTACATTTAATTTGGTTAAGCCCTTTCGACTAATTTATTTAACCTTTGTGTGTTGTGTCCCAAATAAACGTATTCATTAGTACGAGTTCACCTTCTGCTTTATAAACCGTCAGACGCTACTCAGTAACGATTGTCTAGACGAGCTAATTACCGAGCTTAAGAACACGCAGTAAATTGACACACTACATATTCTAATGATGAGTGCCAACGAGTATGAGACGTGGAAATAAATCCCATTGTCTTCACTTTTACTGGGTTTATTTTCTACTGAAAAAACGATTCTCACTTTAAATTAGTAAACATCCTTTTAATGTTATGAAGTACCACAGTGATGTTATATTTCGATGAGAAGTAAATCTGAATACAGAGTATTTTTTATAATAATCCAAGGGTTTAAGTACTGATGAGATTTTTGTGAGTAAAAGGTTGTTGTCGTACGCAGACAACCATTTCTAAATTAAGGGTAAACAGAATTTCGAAACTGTCTTATTTCTATTTACCATAACTAAGAGAACTAAAGAAAAAATTGGCTACTGAAGTAAAGAATAATCATTGTATCTACAGTTGAACCCTCAACTTTTTACTCTGTTCAAACAAACCACAATTTTTATCGGATAGTGTTCAATACTTTGAATCTTTGTCAATTTTAATCTAAAGCAGTTTTATTAACACTGGTTTAATAGAGTTTTAGTGAACTTGTTAAGTTTCACTGAAGCAGGTTTATGCATTTTTTGAGTGACCATGATCAATGAAATTTTATATTTTGTTTCTTTTCGTAGTAAAATGTAAATATATATTCAAATATGCTTTTGAAGAATGTCATAAGTTGTTCATATAAAATCTCATTATTTTTAACCATAACGTCTCCGCGTTTTTATGTTCTTTGAATGCTGAGTTTAAGTTGCTATGTCTGCCAATAAATGGTGTATATTGTTATGTAGCTGATGACGGTCACTGAAGATTATAGATTAGTGTATAATGTACATCATATGATAAATCAAAGCTTTTAACATAAGCTTATAATGAATGTTACTAATCTCAGAATAATCATCTCTTTCAGGATAACCTCAGGAATGTTGATATTTGTCTTGTTTGAATCTACTTTGAATATGTTGGAAAAAATACAAAGGAATGATTTAGACTGATTTATCAACCTTTCTTTTTATGTGACGAAAATATTTTGACTACAGTACTAAACAGCTTATTCTATAAATATCTATGTATCGAATCCCATATTCTAAAATACTGAGTATTGATTTTTAAAGACGTAATTCATATCGGCCAAGTGAGATACATACATAAATGAGGTGTCATAACTCGAAAGACAGAGCTTCCTAGTTAGTGTTATTCTGAGTATCGCCATCCGGCGTAACCCACCACTTTGTAAAATAGAATATTCGATTACTGCAGAAGCCACTGCATTTAGCTTCATGCAATGTATTGTTCCGATATTGTAAGTCGAGCTGGCCAACCAGTACGCTTATATGAACTTACATCAGAATGATTAGCAATAGAGTATGCATGTTTTTCTTTTGATTCAGATATTTGTTTAGCTAGTAACCACTTAGTCTGTACTTTTGTATTCTGATTTCTTTGGCAAATATAAAATGCCTCAAACGTCGTCGACAATTTTCCGAAAACTTGTAAGCTCGATGAAATGAGTGGTAAAATGAAATTTGTGAAGAAACCTTTTTTATTAAATAATATCATTCACGGTTGAGTGTAGACGAAGTAAAAATAGATAGTGATTTTTTTTACTTTAGGACTACGTAGCAACAAATCATTTCCTACCAGTTTTCAATCATTTTCTAATTAATATCAGTCCGTAATGGTATCTGTGGTTTAATAGTAATCATTTTTCAAAGAATTTAAAAAGTTGCTGAAAGGTTTACGTTTTTCATCTATCATATCTAAACCTTCTACCTGAATGGTTTGAAGTTTGATGCTGTTGAGGTGTTCAAGACTCAATATATCAACCGCTATTGGTACTAAATTATCGTGGCTTGAATTCGTGTAGACTTTCAAATTGATCACAGTTTTTACCATGAAAATCACTGAAATGTGGTTAGAATATTTTGATGGTTGCTCATTAGTCTAGCGTAAAATTAACTAGTATTTTGACTGATCTATTTTAAATTAACGATTATCCTCGATCCACTCTTCACATCCACCGTAAATGCACTAACTTCTTATACATGTATTGTATTTTAACTCATTAGAGATGAGTGGTGGCTATCTGAGGAATTCAGTACATGCGTTTTGTCCTATTTGGAACTCGTCAGCTGGATGTACCTGCATTTCAGAGTTGGTGTTCGCTCTTAGACTCGAATTCAGTAACCTTTGCTCAAACGCCACTTGTGAAATAGGGTGGACTTTAATTCATTTGCACTGAGTGTTAGAATCTTCCCATTGATGTATCAGTCCCTGATTGAAAATCGACTCTGGAATGCAAGTATATCGTAATAATGAATCCAAAATAGGACAATAAGAGCTTCCTGAATTCCACTACTATCCAATCTCCACCTTCACTTATATTGCAATAGCAGTGTCGAGGTAATCCGTACAAGATGTATGTATGCTAAAGGTGGCTAGCCAGTTGTAATTCTAAATATGACTGTTCAAACAACCAAGTAAACAAAGTATCTGGCTTCAATTCGAAATTTCAGTCCACGATTTATTTTCATTGAGCTAGCTCGTCCCTGATTGTATTTAAAAAGACATATTCTTTTTCTCAATCATTCACAACTTATGGTGTCTATTTGGTCGAAGATAAAGTCTTCAAATATTGTGAATAAGATATCCCTTATCTGCAAATTACTCTGCTTAATGGCAATAGCAAAAATACCTTGGGCTAATACATTTTATTCGATGACGTATTTTGACTTATAAATAATCCAAGAAATACAGGAAAATTTGTGAGGTTTTTGTGAAACACTTTTCTATGGAAATTCTGGTAACATTCAAGTTTGCACAGTAATGAAAATTAGCAATAAAACCTACCACGTAATTAGATATACATTTTTTACTTATAGAGATTTGTAGTTCTGGTGGTAGCTTTTGGTAATTTTTCGTTCTATAGTCGTAATATTTGTGAAATAATCAAACGTTCTGACATTTGTTTAAAGTAGGCACTGACGATTAGGTACAGAATGAAAACTAAAGCTTTACAATTAAACTAAGAGAATGCAATATTATCAAAAAAAAAGTTTTATTGATATTTATCTTGAATTAAGATCTTATGGATTCGAAAACTGGGAAATAATAACGGTAAAGAGTAAGGAATTGCCTAAATTAAGAAAAAAGACTTACTTTACTTAGTTCAAAACAACAAAAGACAGAAGTTGTCATCAGTAAGAGTGAATAAAAATTAAATTCAAAGAAGTAACTGGACCAAAAAGACAGTCAAATTAAGGTGTATGTTCTGCTGATTCAGCATAGAAGTTAGCTATTTAGATCTTGAAATAATTTTATAACCAAGGTAAGTCAATGATATGTATTGCGATAATCATTGTACACCTAAGTTAACTCTCATAGCTTTCATGATGATTATCTCAACAATTTCGAGAAAAAGGTTTTGCATTTTACTAATGAACAACTCAGTAACTTGGACATCAATAAAATGGTAAAAAAAAGTGACTTTCGACTGTATACAGATTTGGAGTAGTGTCATCCTTCTTACTAGCCTAGCTATTTAGAATAATGTGCTTTGGTATATTGTAATGATATCTATCCTTACAAAAGCCAACATATGCTACAATTTCTACTTAATAACTTTGTATGATAATTTAAATCCAAATAAGAAATCTTGTTCTCAGTACAATGATTAATATTTTTCTGAAGAATTTTTAAGTCATTTTTATACTTACAATCATTAATTATGCAAATAAAAGTCATCATAAAATCCTCAATGAAAAATTGATGTGTGCAATTATTTTCTTATAGAAGTAAATTTAACAACATCACTATATGAAGTTCACATCATGTACTAACTTTGGTGAGACAGTCATTGAAGACCTATAAGCATTTGATTGTTGTTTCATCTTAGTATGGAACTCATTACTAGTTGTGATCAGTAACCTCGTGAGAGATCACATCCAGGACTCTTAGGTATCGTAGTGAGCACAAAATGACAGAAGTCAGTAAACGTAAATTTCTGGACGCTAACTTAGTAGTCTAAAGGGTTAGGCTCTCACGCAAAGGTCTGAAGGTTCTGAGTTCGATTCTACATGGGATAGTGAATGTGCATTCCTAAAGAACCTCATGCAACTGGTTAGTACTTCTTAGCTAGTCAACCCATGCTGTGAAATTTCGAATTCAGAAAACTCCAAAAATACTCAATAACAATAGCATAATGACTAGTTTATAAAAAGAAAAATCACTAACTCACTCAATATAAGAAGGTTTATAGAAATGATGCTTAAATAAATATACAGCCCATACATAAATTTCCAAGAATTCAACGTTAAAAATTTACGTAAATACTAATCGAACTAGATTCCATTTTCACTAGGATACATCCACAGATGTAGTGAAAGCAATTTATATTTCATAAACCTAAGAATTTAATTGGCTGTTTGTTTGGCCAATCTAAATTGCAACAATAACTTGTAAATTAGATTTACCTGTGTTCATTTTAAGCTTAATAGTTGAAAAAAGAGCAACGAAATAATCAAGTAAACACGACATGAATGTAAAAAAATTTATTTAAACATATTGGTGAATCACATGAATTGTTAAACCCTTTGTAAAGATCAGTCACATCATATTCGACAAATCAGGGTGATGTGAACATCAGTTTGTTCATTTGAAAAAATAATTCAAAAAGATTCAATTCGTAAAAACACTGAAAAGTTTACTTACCAAGTAACTTCTTTTTTAAGTCACCCATAAATAAAGAGATTAGTGTCAGTGAACTGAGTGGAAAAATTTACTATGTTTAATTGTTAAACTTTACGAGTAATAAGTATGAGTGACGACTTCAGTCTTCATGAAAATCAAATTCAGGGCTGCTATTGGGACTCAAAGAACGTACATACTCATGATAATATTGCAACGTACGTTAGTGAAAGTTGTAACGGTGCTCAAGTTAACATATATAGAAGCTGATATGTGAATGAATTATTCGCTATATACGGTTTGAACTTCCAATTGTAATTGAAATCTTATTATTAAAGCCCTACCATTAATTATAGAATTGATGGTTTATATGCATACAAAGTTTAAGGAGAATTAACTAGCGGAAATTCTATGAGTTTGATTATATAACTTGTCAGCAAACAGCATATTCTGTTATTTTGCATCAAATGATTGGGCATTTAGTCAGCTAACTCTGTCCATACAGAATCTGTATGTCGGAAGTACTGCCAGTTAATCTTTAAACAAATTCCAGACAAACCTGAAAGGGGACTGAAAATAAAGTAAAGCGATTCTCTAAGCAACTTTTTTTATTCAAATTTATTTAATATTATTGTGTGTGGTATGGAGACCAAAGACTAAACTTTGTACTTAGGATAAACTTCTGATTTTTGGATTTACCGTAAATATAAATAACATTCGTAATTAGACTACTTGTCATCTTTCATCAAGTCATTTTAACACCGTTTTGTTTCTAGATTACATATGGTTTCCAAACCATTTGCGGTGAGGTGCTCAATGATATCAATTTACGTATAACGAAAACCATCGCAGCTTCCGCCAGACGGAGTTACCTTTGTTGTTATTATTGTGATGTAAGTCTGACTCTACAAGTAGGGTTTACATCGTATTAATAGAGCTGTTTCACTTTACGCTTACTAAACCTGACTACTTCGAGTTAAGAATAGTAAGCAACTCAATGCTTTTAATCATCGTTGTCTCCAAGGCGCTGTTGAAATTTGCTGGCAATACCATTTTAGAAATACAGAGGTTCGGCGATGTTTGTTAAGACACTGATAAAAACTAAGTAACTGTTATAATCTTGAAACATTGACACTGGCTGCTTTGACATAAGCTACGAATTTCACATCACATATTATTTGCCGACGTTGGAACTTACTGATAAAAGCAGAGCGATGATCAGTTTATGACATGATAACGTGGTATGAAAGACTATCATTATTGGCACTCCACAAAGTCCTGGCTGGGTTCCAGGAGACAATGCCAAATAATTAATCCTGAAAAATGTGAACTCTAATTCATATGTAAAAATGACAACTTATTCATGACTGCTACTGAGTTTGAAACTATGGCATGTAAAACCAGAGAAATCATATATAAAAGCTACGGAACATGACTATTTACGTGACTTCGTAATTCATCTGTTTTTTAAGCAGATGAGCAAAGTAAATGTAACGAGTATTTACTTTGAAGGCTATACTCTTCTCAATATATATATATATATATATATATATATATATATATATACATATATATATATATATGTATATATATATATATATATAATACACCACTGTTTAATATGTTACCTATAGCATCTATCTTTCTCATCATTTTGGCTTTCATTGCCCGCTACTGTTCTCTACTATTGCATACATTTCCTGTTAGTTTGTTTACGTTTTTGTTGTTCTGCACTGTCATATGAGCCTGTCACGGTGCATTTTTGTGTATCTATCAACCCAGTAGAAGCTTCTGAAATGCAATGGTCTTTTTTAATCTTACGATTCGGGACGCTGATAAATCAGTATTTACAGACGTCCGTATAACTCGTTGGCTTCGTTTAGATAAGCTACCCCATCACGATTGGCTAATTAAACTCTTGACCTTTGAAGTCTGCGCAACTACGAGTTGCGAGTTCACGAGACGTCCATTCCGGTCTCCTGAAACTTCGTTCTAAACTACATGTTGGAGCATTTAATTTACTAACGTTGTGTCAAGTAGGATAACAAGCTTCCTTAGCTAGGACTTTACAATCTCGTACCAGCGTCTCCGAAACGCGCATACAGGATCCTAGTAAAATAATTAATTTTATATGACCTTGTCAAAATAAAGAAGCTCTATATATTCTTCGTGTATCTGGAAGCCCTGATGCTGCTTCCCGGAGTCTCGCTGGTGTGGCTATAGCATTCAGTCCTAGATCAGAACTAGCTCTCCTAGACTGGATCCCAGTAGATAGTCGTTTGTGCGCTGTCCGACTAAACGTGACAGTAAGGACTCAGAAAGATAGGGACACCCGTCGTTGCTTCTTCGTCGTATCTGCCTACGCTCCCATTGACTGCAGTTCAGAGAGGTAAAAGATGACTTTTACAGAAAGCTTTCAGGCCTCCTCCAAAAAGTTAGGCGCTCTGATATAGTCACGATGGCTGGTGACTTCGATGCTCAAGTAGGTAGACTAAGTGAAAATGAAAGACACCTAGGTGGATGTTATGGTCTCGCGGCTTATAGAACAGACAATGGCGACCGTCGGTTGCAACTGTGCTCAGATAATCGACTGTATCCAGCAAATATCCTTTGGCCTGTCGACCCTCAATGTCGTCTCAGCGCTCGACCCCATTATATCACATCACCATCAGCCACCGATGGAGGAGTTCAATAGAGGACTGCTGCTCGTTCTCGGGCACATTTTTAGGTTCAGATCATGCTTTAGTGCGAGTGCGTACTTGTTTGAGGATTAATAGACGTAGAAAAGACCGCAAGAAAACCTGTTAGGGCTCTACTTAATGATAGCTTGGCTAGCAATATATTTCAGGAACAAGTAGAAAAGGAAAAGTGTTTCCCATCCGGAGGCAGCTTGGAATAATATCCAAAAGGCTGTTTAAACAGCAGTGATATCTGTTAGGAAGGTAAGACATAAGATCAAGAATCCGTGGGTCTCAGTAGCATCCACCGAACTGATAGACGCCCGGAAACTCATTCCGCCTGGCTCTAAATAAACACAAAGAACAGCTAAGTCAGCTTAAACGCAGGCTGATAAAAAGCCTACGCAATGATCGCGAACAGTCGTAGATAGCGAAAGCAAGAGTGATGGATAAGGAAGCGCCGATAGGCGACAGCAGACAACTACTCAGACTTATCAGGGAAAACAGTATTAGGAACGCGAAAGTAAGTGAGACTATTTCGGAAAAGGATGGGACTATTAACTATTCTCAATCCACGAGATTGGACCGATGGGCAGAAAAATTTAGGGATCAGTTCAATTGGCCTTCATCCACACCTTGTTTGCTCACGATCTCGTCATCCTGAATGGCAAGTCGATCTAAATCCTCTGACTCTTTATGTAGTTGAAAATGCTTTAGGGAATCTGTAGTGAGGGAGGGCAACGGATGCTGATAGATTGACCCCTGAGATTTGTAAGCATGGTGGTAAAGTTTTGGCAGTTAGGTTGACTGAGATATTAGGTGGAATCTGGGAACTGGGCGTAATCCCACTCAACTAGTCTCAATCACTGATTGTCCTAATTTATAAGAAAGGATAAAAATCCTCTTGTGACAACCACAGAGGAATGACTTTAAATAATATGGAATCGAAAACTCTGAAGCCAAACAAAAGCCCGTTGATAACATAGTCGAGAAAATTTGGCTGGTTTCAAACCTGGACATGGATATATAGACGACATATTCACAGTAGTCAGTCAGTCAGTTGCAACGTAGAACTTCGTACGTATGTACATCAGTTCAGGTTGCTAAACCACATTAGCACACAGACGCGAATGTGAAAACAAATCCAATAGTAGAATTATTATTGGTCACGAAGAAGACTGTGGTTTAAAGATATTATTCAAGAAGTACAACACAGTGAGATAAGGTAAGAAAGACAACGGTAGCGGTGCTGACGAATGCAGAAGCTTAGAATTTCATAGAACACAAAGAGTTGATGCACCTGCGCCATTACAAACGATTCTGAGCCATGTCGTTCAAGGTCTCTATCCATCGGTGACTATCGTCTCGCGGACCCCAACCAGGTAGCCTACATCTACCAACATGACTCAGTCCACTTGTCAGTGACTTCATGCATTTCTGCCATGTTTTGGTTTGGCCGCCCCTAGCTTTTTTCCAACCTACTCCTACACTGCAAAACATAGCTCGTCGCAAAAGTCGGTGGTTAGCCATACGTAACACATGTCCCAACCACCTCAACTGATGAAGTTTCACTACTTCATCTATTGATTTGCCATCCCTACCTAGAATTCGTTTACTAACGACAGCATTGCTCATACGGTTGTCCCATGATACACGAGCAATGCTTCGGAGACATCTATGATCAAATACTAGTAACCTACGAACATCTTCTACTCTTAACGGCCATGTTTCGCATCCATATAGGAGAATGGAGCGAACTGCTGCGCAGTACACCCGTCCTTTGTTCAGCGAACGGATATCTCGCCTACGCCATAAGTGACGCAGGTTGGCAAAAGCCAATCGAGCTTTCTGTATCCGTGCTGAGATTTCGTCAGTCACCAGGCTATCAGCGCTGATGAGACTTCCCAGATAAGTGGAGCGATCAACAC